ATTGAACTTATTTAACGTGCTTTGAACGTTGGTTACTTTCAATATATAAATTGTGAACTAACATTAATTCAAACCGTGTTGTTTTTAATTCATGAGAAAATTTTGTATCGAAACAATTGATGTGTTTCCTATAAATGTCCAATTCTTTTGTTAGATTTTATTTGAAATTTGAAATTTTTTTATTTTTTTATCCTGCTAAAATGTTTGAATATTTCTATTTAGAATGGGTTATAAACCCAACAAAAAGAAATTTAAAATTAGATATTTTTTTTAATTTTCATTTTATTTTATCTTCTTTTTTTCTAGACAAATCCACTATATGAAGCATCTTTGAAATGCTTTGATCATTTATTGATAAAAGCATCTATATGAAAATGTATGGGTAAATAGCTTCTGTATACAGGCTGAGAAAAAAATTAATTAAGTTGATAGAAAGTCGTTAGATGTCTAACGGGATATAAGTAATAGGTCTTACCAGTTTTATAAAAAAATCAGCTAGGATATTTTGATTTTTAGTGAGCAATTTTAGTATTTTATTTTATTTAGGGTAAAATTTGCTAGGGACATCTTAAAAACATGTAATTAGCCGGGGACACCGTAAGAACGCGTATCAGCTGTGGGACACCGAGAAAACTGGTATTTAGTTACTGGACACCCGCGAAATTATTTTATAATATCCAAATTAAATAGAGAGAGAAACAATAACAAAAGAATGATTTTGCCCCTTGCCTACCAAGTCCGGCTCGCAAACACCTCCGACACTGCAACCGCACCCGCCTCCGGTGAGGTGGCTGTCTAGTGGGGGGAGGGGGTTTTGAGAAGGGCCCATGCACCTGGGCCTGTGGTTTCATGTCGTTCCTGCACTCATCACCGCTGCAGTGCGAGGGCCATGCTGGTGTCGATGCTCCGCCACACACCGCGCTTGGGGTTAGCACAACGTGGACCACCTCCTGATTCATGTCGAGCAGGGCGCTGCAAAGTGCAAGCTATTGCTGTCGGTCTCACAGCCGCGCCACGCCACGATGCTATACCCTCCGCCGCCCATGTAATGACTATTACGACGTCTGAGCTATATGCGAGCCACACTTGGCAGGAAGGGGCAAAATCATACTTTCGCGATTGTTTCTCTCTCCCTTTCCATTGGATACAACAAAAGTAATGCCGCGGGTATCAACAGCTAATTACCAGTTTTTTGTAGTATCCCATAGTAAATATACGTTCTTGCAGTGTCTCTTAGCTAATTACACTTTTTTATGTCTTGTAGCAAATTTTACCTTTATTAAGTAGAGGCTTCAATATGGATGTGGGTCCATAATGTAATTTTTTGTTAGCACTTAAATACAGTCAATGTGGGCATTAAGTTATTGTTTTCACTTAAAAAATAATAACTGGCTAGACCTAATAGATGGAGATTCGCTTGTGGTCTTTTCTTTGCCCATAAAAATAATTTTAATTATCATAGAGATAGAAAAAACTGAGAAAAGTAAGGCCGCACACCACACAGGAACGGGGATGGAGGGAGGGGTTGGGATGTTTCTTTTTTTCAGAAAAAAATTGATTGATCTGATGACCTAAAATATAATGTTTCGATGTTTAAGTAAAAACCGATGGTTGGATGTTTTTTTCTCATATTTATTAGATTTTTTCTAATTTAAGTGAGACAAGTAGTAGCTTAGCAAAACGCGTATAGGGATGGAGAGAAAGGGAATATGGTTTGGGATATTTTCTTTTATTAGAAAATATATCAATAACGATGTAAAATAGTGTGTCCATATTTAAGTGGAAGCCAATGGATGAATGTTTCTATAATTTAAGAATGTCATACAACGATTTGGAAATATTTATAAGAGATTTAATAGACTTTAAAGCCTATTTTTGAGATTATTTTCCATAAAGATAATTTTAATTTTAATTGTGATAGGGATAAAAAAGACAAAGGAACAGGGAGCCTACAAATTGAACAGTACGTGCGTGGTGCACGGATATGGGGACGTGGGAGGTTTTGGTGTTCTAAGATAGATCTAACAAAGTCCATCGATTTAAATGAATATCGATGGATAGATTTCTCTATTTTATTAGGGTGCCACGTGGTAACTTGACATTAATTATAGGGTGCCATGTAACGATTTAGGAGTGTTTGTAGGAAATTTAATGGATTTTATTTAGTATATAATAGATAGATAGTACTACGTACATATGGATTTTTGCTTTATTTTATACGGTAAAAAATTATATTTATATTTTTTTCTTCCGATGATACTTTGTACTAATTTGTTTTGCCTTTATCTCTTTTTGACACGGGCAATTTTTTTTATTCCGGCGAACGTAACGTAAGCTTTTCATTTTTTCTGAATCATATATACCATATTTTTTGTTTTGCCGACGTACGTATTCTCACTTTTATATAGGGAATGTATTATATATACATCTAATTATTAGTCTAAAGTAATGGGCCCACCAATTTAAATAAAAATCAACGATACATATAGATCTAATCTAATGTTCTAAAATAGCGGGTCCACCAATTAAATGGAAATCAACGGTGAGATTAGATAGCGTCACATGACGGCATAGAAGCGTTTATAGGAGTCCCACGTAGCTACTTGAGAGCGTTTGTAAGAAGTTTAATGAACTTTTATTAGTATATAATAGATTATGACGTCACCAAGGGGATAGGTGGCGCCGACAAGCGGGCCCCACCTGTCGGTGGCTCAAGGGAGGCGGGTTGGAGGTTGGGGATGACCCCGACAGGTGGGGCCCACCTGTCGGCGGCTCGGGGAGAGGAGGGAGGAGGAGGGAGGCAGGACGGACATTTGGAGGGGGAGGAGAGCCACGTGGGCCGACGGCCCACGAAGGGAGAGGGAAGGCCGGCCTGGCCGGGAAGGAGGAGGGAGGGATTGGGCCGAGCCCAAGGAAGGAAAGGGGAAAGATTTTATTTGTTTTTCATTATAATTAATTGATTTAATGAACTTTGTGCTATTAAAATTACTTCTTGAGCTCCGAAAAATCATGGGAAATTTCAGAGAATATTTTAGGGCACAGAGAATATTACAAAATATTCCCGGCCATAATTTTTAAAGGAAATTTTAATTCCCTCAATATTTCACTTGATTAAATTGCTTTAACTTTTACTAATTTCTAGAAAATACATTATTAAATGATTTTTAATCCCGAACGAAAATCGAGACGTTACACTCTTCCCAATCTCTCCAGGGCAGTGCGCAGTGAGGAGACAGGTGGCATGTGGCGCGCGGCGACTAGCGCCTGGCGGGAGAAGAGCTGGGTGATGACGGCAATGGCGGTGATGACCGGCGGAGGTGGCGTTGCCTCGATGCCCTCCCGGCTAAGGGAAGACGGCAGCAGTAGCTGCATCGAAGGGGTGAAGGCCGAATAGAAATTGTGGCGGCGGCGGCCGACGGCCACCGAATCGATGCTTCCCAGCCGCTTGGCCCTCCCTGCCATCGCCTTGCCAAGGTTTTTGCCATCCTTGGAGGCCGGATGTCGCACAGCGAGGAGGAGGAGGAGGAGGAGGAGCGTGTGGAGGGGGACGGCGGTGGTGTACACGACAGCAAAAATTCATGCACAGCAAAATCAACAAATACAAGATTTAGAACAAAATGCAGCAAGAATGCAAGAGCACATACTTGTGCAATTTGTATGTTCTAGTACAGCAATTGATCAATGCAGATGCGGTAATCTGCAAGGGCGCACACACAAAATTGGACCCAGAGGCTTATTGTTTTATTTTGTACTACCTTCTCTGGCTCGGTGCCGTCCTTGGTGTTAGAGACGGCAAGGCAGATGAGGTGCAGCAAAAAGGCAATGGGGATGGCTTCGAATGCCATGGCACGCATGTGGGAGACCTCACTGCAGGCGCAGATGTCGACGTGTCTGAGGTGAACAAGCCGGCATTGCAGATCCACAAGTGGATAGGCCCGTGACCACTAGGCACATGAACGCACTAGCGGCAGCCACGGCTTCACGTTTGCGTGCTAGAACAACCGCAATGATGTTTTGCGCCAGCGGCTGGAGCGGAGGCCTCCGTGACGACGAGAAGGGAGCTCGAGGATTGGAGGCACTCGCCATGCCGTCCTCACGTCCCTTGTGTCCCCCATTTCCTCAGTCCTCGCCACGCTTTTTATTGACTCGTGATTGCTATATATAGGTGTTTTTTTAAACCTACGAAAATAGAGATGTTTTATAGTAATTTAATTTTAAAAATAAACACTGGTGGAGAAGTGTTTTTTACTCCCGGTTCGTAACCCCCTAATAGTTCCGGTTTTCTAACCGGACTACGAATCCGGGACTAAAGATCGCTATCTTTAGTCCCGGTTCAAATAACTGGGACTAAAGATGGTCCCAGTTGGTGTTACCTCTTTTTAGTCACAGATGGTCCAGATGGGAATAGCGGCAGTTCCAGATGGTCCCCTTTTCCTTTTTTCTTATTTTCTCCCAAATCAAGTGGGAAGCATGTCCCCAAATCTAAGTAACATCCCAAATCCACATCACAAATAAAGTAACATCACAAATCATAAAGTTACATATATACACAAATCAAATACATCACAAATCCTAAAAAATTACACACAAATCAAATACATCACATGTCATCTCAGATCCATCCAATAAATCACAAAATTATACATGTGAATCACAAATAAAAACAGAGAAAACAACGCCGTTGCCGCCGCCCGGCGCGGCCCCGCCGCCTCGGCCCGCCGCCGCCTGCCACGATCACCGGCCCCCTGACATTAATCTGACAGGAAAAGAACCGGGACTAAAGATGATCTATAGTCCTGGTTGGTGATGTCTCTGGAGTTTTCAACCGGGACTAGAGATCATTTTTAGTCCTGGTTCTTTTTGAAACCAGGATTATTATGGTTTTGGGTCGACCCAACAAAGATCATTTCTCCACCAGTGAAATATAATGTAGAATATATATATATATATATATATATATATATATATATATATATATATATATATATATAACACAACAAGAAAAACTGATCCTCGTCGACTCCATTAATTTTTGCGATCGTGTTCGATCATGTGTTACACAATACGTATAAATTATGTCTAGCTGTCTACACGGTGCACATTGTGTCAAACCGCCAAGCTAGGCGAGCGCTAGCTAGTCAAAGTACACTGCAAATCCGTTAATTTTGCAGGGCCGGAGAGTACGTACGTGATTGATTTCATCACAAGAGGAAGGGCTTCCTGTAGATGTCAAACGGCTCCGAGGCGCACAGCTGGGGCTCCTGCGCGCAGCTGAAGGTGATGACCCTCCGGAAGAAGGCGCCCAGTGGCCCCGGGATGCCGACCTCGCCGCCGCCGCCGCGGATGGTCGCCCGCATCGCGCTCAGCAGCCGCCCGTACGTCGTCCCTGGCTCCGTCTCCACCGCCTTGATGAAGCTGTACGTCATGGCCCCCGTCGCCGCGCCGCCGGAGAACGCCTGCATCACATCGCATCATCATGTCGTCCATCGTCACGATCACCCTTGCTAATTAACGAGAGCAAGTATGCAGTCAAAATCCTATCTATAGATAGTTCAAACCTATGAGAGTACGGATGTATAAAACTTTTATAACTCCTGAGTTTTACTACTTAGGATGACATGGATAAATCTCAAATGTTTATTAATTTTTAATCGAGATCTACAGTAGTTTCTAGGTTTGCAGCACATAATTTTTCTAACTAACGATGGTGGGGATAGATCAGGGTTTTCCCTTTTGGAAATCATGAAAATTTCAGTGTGCACTGAAATTCGGGTATTTCGGACGAATTATTTTTGAAATTTTAACACACAGTTTTACTGAATTTGAACGCATTATGACAAAATTCACAAATACTTGAAACAATCCCAAATTTTGCTCATAATATTTGATTGCTGGAGCGGGGGGAGCGAAATTTCAAACCGAAATATTCATCCCTAGGATAGTTAGCTAGGTAGGGTTTGGTTTAGGAAAAATTTCACCATCCAACATTTGGTACATCGAGATATGATATTTTACACACAAAATTTTAATACCTCAAGGTACACCTTAAGATATTAAATTTTACAATAAAAAATATCTCATGATACCAAAAATTTGTGGTAACTCGAGATATTAAATGTTGGATGGCAAAAATTTCTCTTGGTGTGGTGGAAGATATATCACGCACCGTGGTGTCGGAGGAGGTCTGGCTGTCGCCGCAGCCGCTGATGGAGATGGCGAGGCCGCCGCTGGTGCCCTTGGCCAGCTCCGGCCGGCGGCAGTGGTTCTCCCACTGCCAGTAGCCTGTCCGGGAGAGGCGGCAGAGGAAGGGGAGGTCCAGGATGGTGCCGCTGTGGCACGTGTCCACGATGGCATGGAGCTTCACGCCGGCGACGAGTGGCCGGACGATGGTCTCGTTGATCTCGTCGTCGAGGATGACCCCCGCCCGCTCGAAGTCCACGGGGCACAGCGCCTCGTCGTAGCCGTCCGCCTCGTCGCCGTCGACGTCCAGCTTCTGCACGCCGTGGCCGGAGAAGTGGAGCACCAGCGAGTCGCCGGCGCTGCACCCTTCCACCAGCCACCGCATCGCCGCCAGCAGGTTCGCCCTCGTCGGCACCCTGTACGGGTCGCCGTTCTCCTCTGCCATCAAACACCTCTCGTTAGCTAGCTCGCGAAATGGATCGATCGATGAGGATGGCAAGGATTATACGCACGCGTGAGGACGAGGATGCAGTCGGCGGGGAAGGCGAAGCGCTCGCGGAGGAGGAAGGACATGCAGTTGACGTCGTTGACGGTGCCCTTGAGCTCGTACCCGGTGGCGGCGTAGCTGATGCCGACGAGGAGCGCGCGCTTCTTGCCGCTGACGCGCGGGTAGTAGCTCGCCGCCGCCGCCGCACCCGCCGACGGCGTCAGCGGCGGCGGCGGGGCGAACGCGCTGATGAGGCCCTTGATGAAGCCCAGGGCCCCGCCGTGGCCGCCGTGGTGGCCGCGGCGCTCGACGCGCGTCACGGCGCGGCAGAGCGCGCACCGCACCGAGCGCGCCCCCGGCGGCACGGCCAGGTACGCGCCGCAGCCGCCGCACCATGCCGTCCCCCGCGGCGGCCTCGCGCTCGCCATGGCGCTCGCTCGCTAGCTTAGCTGCTGCCTTCTTGGCTACGTACACGTGTGGATCAAATGTGTCGCCGGGTGTACTACACACCTAGCTAATTAACCTAGCCACCTAGCCTAGCTTAGCTTAGCTTAGCTTATCTAGCTTGACAGTGATCAGCAGCTAAGAATGTTCTTGGCGATGACGAAGAAGGGGTGGTCGGTTGCGTGTGGAGAAAGCGAAGGTGAGGAAGAAGATTGGGTGACCTTTCGGTTCGGCCATGGATCGATGCTTTTATGTGGATGGATGGAAGAGGATGGCATTTTGCTGCTTTATCATATTCTCTTCTTCTTATTATTTTGAAAGGAAATGCTTTAATTTGCTGCTATTTCCAGGTGAGGGTAAGACAGAATCGGATTCATATATTCTACATATAAGGGCGGTTTAAGAATAATAGGAACTTCGAAAGGACTTCAAAAAAAAAGGTTCGAAATTCAAACAGCAGAGGAGATTCATTCTCGATCGTATATGTTGATTGTGAAAGTGCCAACAAGATGAAAATCGTGAAATTTGAAGGCGCAGGCCAAATGCGCGCGGATGTGATTGTGAAAGTGCCAACAGTGAGAAAAAAATAAAGAGAAGGGGAAAATTCATTCGCGTATGTAAATTGTGAAAAGTGCCAACAGAGTGAAAAATGTGAAATTTGAAAACACCAAATGTGAATGTGATTGTGTAAGTGCCAACAGTGAGAAAAAAATATGAAAACACCAGAAAGAGGTAAAGAAAAGGAAAAAAAATATTCGCGCGTGTGAATTGTAAAAGTGCCAAGTGCAAACAGGGTGAAAAGGGTGGAATTTGAGGATGCCAAATGTGAATGTGATTGTGTGAGTGCCGGAGTGGTAACTTGGGAAAAAAAATGAGATCTGAAAACGCAAAATGGGAATGTGATTGTGAAAGTACCAATGACAGGAAAATTGAAATATGAAAACACCAAACAGGGGAAAAAAATAAAGAGAAGTACAAAAAAATTGGGGTGAGAGAGGCTCGAACTCTCGACCTCAGGATCACTCGCTTTAGCTATGAGACCTACGCGCTAGCCAACTGCGCCACCACCCCGATGTGTTTGAGAAAATTTTATATCTTAAACAACATTTTGGTTGGCCTAGATGGTTCGATGGGCCGAATCATTGCGTGGACTATTGAATAAGACACAATATGAACTTTTCTTTTCTTTTTCACAAGAAGAGTCTCCCTCTTTTTTCTTTTTTTTTAAAGCACTGCATTTATACCATGCATCATGCAGGCATAAATAAGGTAACACGAATGTGTCTGTACTAAATACTAAAAGAGAGGAACTTGGCTAGTAATTTATGTCCAATGAAATAGGGACACAAGTAGTGCAATAATATAACAAGAATAAGTCTATTTTTCCTCCCTCAACTAATGCCCCTAGTTGAATCGCATCACTCAACCGCAAAACCGAGTATAACCCGTCCCCTAACACGTAAAACCGTTGCAAATCGACTCCCCGAACGGTTTTGGAGGTGGTTTCGTCTCACGTGGCAGTTGACTTGCTGAGTCATCAAGCGGGAATCATCGGCCTCTACATCATCTCATCTTCTTCCTCTTTCTCTCACCTTCTATAAGCACAGAGAAAAGGCGGCGGCGACAGCGCACGGGGGAGTGGCCCGGCTGGAGCACGCAGAGGAGGCGGGAGGGGAGGAGCTCGCCAGCCGTCCGCGTGCGGGGCAGGAACTCACCGGCAAGCCGCGCGGCGGGAGGAGCTCGTCGGCCAGCCGCACACAAGGAAGAGCTCGTCCGCCGCGTGCAATGAAGAGCTTATCCGCCGGCCGCCCACGGGGAGGAGCTCGTCGGCCGGCCGCGCGTGGGGAAGAGCTCGCTGGCCGTCGGCGCGCGGGGGAGGAGCTCGTCGGCTGGCCGGGCGTGGGGAGGAGCTCGCCGGCCGTCCGCGCGCGGAGGAGGAGCTCGTCGTTGGCCGATCGGCCGCGTACGGGGATGAGCTCTTCGGCATGGTGGCGACCGACGAAAGCCGTTGATCTTCCATGATGGCCCGACTCGAGCACGCAGAGGAGGTGGGAGGGCGCCGGGGCATCATTCGAGAGGGGGGAGGAGATGGTCGTGAAGGACGAGGCGTAGGCCGTGCAGGCAAACCCCTCCACGTCAGCGGCGGTGACGGCGGGCGGGGATGCTTGACCCTCGTGTTTTGTCCTGCCACCGCCTCCATCCACGTCCAGTCGGCGCTGGCAAACCCCTCCACGTGACTGGTGAGGAGGAAGGTGTGTCGTGGTGGCGACGGCCGGCGAGGAGGGAGGCGTGAACCTCGTGCTCCATCCCGCCGCCGCTGCTTCCATCGACAGCCAGTCGGCGGCTCGGCGCTATGCCCCTGAGAGGACAGAAAAAAGTTAGAGAGGGAGGAGAAAGGTAACTTATACGTGGGCCCGATATATATTTTATTTGTTTTACTCACTGACATGTGGGTCCCATTGTATTGGTTTTTATTTAAGTGCCACATTGATGCCACATAGGATGAAGACCAAGTCAACCCGTCACGTAAGCGCCACGTATGACAAAACCACCCGGGGAGTTGATTTGCAATGGTTTTGGGAGTTAGGGGATGTGTTATATCTGGTTTTGCGGTTGAGGGGTGTGATCAACCAGGGGCATGAGTTGAGGGAGGCAAAATAGACTTATTCCTTATAACTAAGGGCCTATTTGGTTTGGGGAAATTTTGTTCAATCTTAGAGAAATTGAACTGTTCCTATGAAAATCATGTAAAATTAATTCTTGGGTTCCGAAGAAGAAGCTCAAAGTGAAGAAGCTCTAAGTGACTCCAAAGACCATCATGGGTCATATAAATTTAGCATATGAAGTATAAACGGACGTTCAAGTCGGTCAATCACTGGTAGAGAAACCATCTTTGATCGGTCGACCCATATCCACAATAGTCCCGGTTCCATTAAAAACCGGGACTAAAAATGATTTTTAGTCCCGGTTAATAAGAGGAAGATCTTTAGTCTCGGTTGTTGTTACCAACCGGGACTAAAAATCATCTTTACTCCCGGTTGGTAACTCCAACCGGGACTAAAGTTCATTTTTAGTCCCGGTTGATTCCATGTCAGGCTGTGTCAGGGCCCTATGATCTTTAGTCCCGGTTAGTAACACCAACCGGGACTAAAAACCTATTTTTAGTCCCGGTAGTCCCGGTTGGTGTTACTAACCGGGAATAAAAATTAAAACACACTATATAATCCATAGTACCGATCCTCTTTTCCCGTCCACACAACAAACTCCTCCCTCTATCTCTTTTTTTCCTCTCTAACTTCTTATCTCTTTCCTTATCTCTAACTCCCCTCCTCTCCTTCCTTTTTTCCTTCACCACAGTGCAGGCGGTCGGCGCGGAGGCGGCGAAGCGGGGGACGGCGCGGAGGCGGCCTGCGCGGCGGCCGGCGCGGCAGCGCGGGGGGCCGCGCGGCGGCGGCGGTGGGCGGCCGGCGCGGCGGCGCGGGAGGCCGCGCGGCGGCGGCGGTGGGCGGCCGGCGCGGCGGCGCGGGAGGCCGCGCGGCGATGCCGGGGGCCGCGCGGAGGCGGCGGCTGCGGTGGGCGGCCGCTCGGCGGCAACCGACGCGGCGCTGGCCGGCCGGCGTGGATGGGAGGAGGGGAGGCGGCAGTGGCCGCCGGCCAGATTTTTTTTCTTTTTTTTTGAGATGTGAATCTGTGATGTATTTTTGTGTGAGATGTGAATCTGTGATGAATTTTTTAGAACCCTGTGATGTAATTTTTTTAAGAGTTTGTGATGTATTTGGAGATGATTTGTTTGAGGATTTGGAGATGTTCTGTAATATGTGATGATTTGGATATGGGAGGGGATGGTGTGAAATCAATATTCAATATTAAAAGCAGAAAAAAAAAGAAAAAATATCTTTAGTCCCGGTTGGTGTTATCAACCGGGACTAAAGATTCTCCCATCTTTAGTCCCGGTTGGTAACATCAACCGGGACTAAAGATTGATTTTTAGTCCCGATTATTTGAACCGGGACTAAAGATAGCGATCTTTAGTCCCGGATTCGTAGTCCCGGTTGGAAAACCGGGACTACAGGGGGTTACGAACCGGGACTAAAAAGCATTTCTCCACCAGTGAATTTAACACAATTCCATGTAACCGGTCGCTAGCACTATACCTAAATGTTTACTTAGTCCCAAAAAAAAACAGGTGAGTGGCAATATATAGAAAATTTTATAAAATAAATCACATCGTTTATTAGTTTTGAAAGTGTGTTAATAAAAAATAAGGTCTTAATAAAAATAGAACGGGACTGTACGTATCAAGCGTAAGTGATGTCCTTGTCATATTCATATGTCGTACCGAATTCAAAATAGACCACCTTTTGAATTTAGATACGCCAACGTCTTTTCAATTCTCTACGCAGGAGTACTAGTATTGTTGAAACTTGAAAGTGGTTAAGCTAGTGGAGTGAGTTGCTGTTGTTTCTCACGTGTGAATAATACATTTACCGCCTACTGGTATAGGTCATGGTATACGCAAGCCATGTGGTCAACACTTGTGCACCAACAACTTGTTGGATATACACATGTGGAGTATGTACTCGTGCGTGTATGTCTTTATGGTGAAAGACAAAAGGAAAAAACGATGTGATTATTAATTAAATCGGTGTTCTAGTGGTCTCTGTTAGTATGCATGAACCATCTCTTAACAAAGTTTGGAGGAGTTTATCAAATTTTCATTTCTTCTTTAAACAAATGTCCTGTTGCTATATGCCATGTCCTAATCAATTAATCTTAGGATTTGAATATGTTCCTGTGAGTGAATTGGTTAGACACTAGTAAGCCACTAGCCTTAGTTATTAACATAATTTCATCGCAATTTGTTATTAGACATAAAGGATGAACTTTGTTGAAAAAATTAATGGCGGTATCATTAATTGGGAATAAATCAGAATTGGTAATTACTCCCTCCATCTACTTTTGATAGTCATATTTTCAAATCTGAAAAATTTATTTTTGATAGACATTTCAATCCAACAAGTTATCATCTCAATAACTTTCTCAGATTTAATGCATGACTCTTCATTCTTCTACACATGATTGTCTACATGGACATTGAGAAATGTAAATATTAATGAATCACTTGTTTACGAGGAATGACTAGTAGCATGTTTAAATGGATGATAAGTAGAATTACTTATTCTTGGTCCATGTGTCAAGATGAAATATGACTATCAAAAGTAGATGGAGGGAGTATTTGTGATCTCTCACGACGTTCGAAGATGTGAATCATCTTCGTAGTATATTGGCAGGTTCAATTAATATAGTATCTGTGTCTTATTTCTACGTTTCAACAGAATAGTTCCTTGTGTTTAATACAATTAATCTTGTTTGGGAAAAAAAACTTGCTTTGCTATAATTTCTTCCCTCCTTCTCTCACAATTAAACAAAAGAAGATAGTGTGATAGCTTATTATAAAAGAAAATTATTGCTACACTCGAAACTAATTTAACAACATCATGACTGCCCCTAATTATATATGTCCAATTTAATTAATTATAAGCTGCGCACCAGTTGGTCAAAAAGATTAAAAGAAGGACCAGCGCAGTCTACGCAGACCAGACCGAAGCTTCCTTGAATTTTGTGGTCGTCAGCTACATTTGTTTGTGACATGCTAAGTTCAAGCCAGCGACACTTTGACATGGACTGTTTCTACAGCCGCCTCTCACCTGTCAAAATTATTATTCGGAATTTT